TTCTTAGGTACTTGGAATATCCCAGCAGCTTTTTCCTGTCTCCTGCCTTGACATTTCTTTTAATTCTCTCCTTGTTCATGTCCATCAGTACACATATTCCTTCTTCCATCCAAAGCCAAGAAATAGAAACACTCCTCTTTATCCTACTTCCCCTTTCCACTGCTGCCCCATGCCTTTCCCTTTCTGTACAGCACAACTTCCTCAAAGTGTTGCCCTTATTTGCCATCTCATCTTTAATTCTCTCTTCTCGTTTTCATTGAAATTCCCATTACTTTCTTTCTCCCAGTCTTCCATTAAAAATGACAAGATAAGATCCTGATAATATTTGTATTGCTACATCCACCAATCAGTCCTCAATCTTAGTCTTTCTTGTCCCACGAGCAGCATTCAACTCAGCAGATCACTGTCTGATTTGAATATTCTCTTCCCTTAGCTTTCAAGGACACCACAGCTCCTTACTGCCTCTTAGCTCCTGGCTGTTCCATTTCAGTCTTCTTTTGCCATACACACTTAGTCAGCCAATTCTGCTGCCTCTAGACATATCTATAACCTGTTCCTTGCTTTTCACATTTTCTATCGCCTAAACCACCCTCATCTTTCATCCAATTATTGAACTAGAATCTCACCTGTTCTATCTTCTACTGCACTTTATCTGTGTTAATGTTACTCCACTTCTAATAGAAATACCTGAAACTGGATGAATTTATGCCAGGGGAAGGGGGGAGAAAGTTAATTCAGCTCATGGTTTGGAGGTCCAGGGACCAACTTATGGTGAGACTATAGCAAGAAGGAGAGGAAGATCTTGAGCAGCATCGCGGTCCATAAGCTTCTAGTTCTTGTCTCTAACCCATCTGCTACAATTTTTCTCCTTATATACACACTAATACTCAAACATGGGGCCTTACCCTAATGACTTTATTACACCCAAAGGCCCCAACCTAGGACACAATGAAGGGATTAAGTTTACACTTAACACCTTTACAATACAACCAAATCCCAACACATGAACTTTCAGGGGACATTCAATTAAAATATAATTCCAAAACAAAATCCTTTGGGGGATAAACCATTATCCTGATCATAACATCATCCAAACCATTACCCTACTGTTTATTCTCAATACAAAATTACAAGAATAATTTTGTTAAAATTTAATTAGGATTATGTTATTTGACTATTTAATAGCCTCCAACATTTTCCAGTCTAACTCAAAGCAAAAACTGACATCCTTACCATGGCTACAAGGTCCATCATGTGCTTTGGCCCCACTATCTCTCTATCTCACTCCTAATTCTCCAAATCTTCATCTTTCTACTTTACTCATATTGCCTTCTGAGCTATAGAGGGCCTCTTAGCACAGAGGGCAATATGGATAGTATATTCATATTTTCTGTCTAGAAAGCTCTTCTTCAAGACAGACATGCCGTATTCTCATAGGGGCCCTTTCTGATACTCTGGCTAAAATTCAAGCCTCATCCTTCTCCCTACCTTGACATTTATATTATCCTTCCCCACATTCTCCTCCTCTTTAGCACATATCAAAAGCTAACATATTTTATACTTAAGTTATCATGTTACTGTCTATTTTCTTAACTAGAATTTAAATAGCACAGAAGTTTTTTCATTTAATATAAAATAAATTTTAAAATTCTAGAAGCATAATCCATGATTCAACACCTGCTTGACCTGAGGGTCTGAGTAAGGCTTTTTTTTTAACTTTTAACTGCCATTCTCCTTTCTCTTTCCTATGCTCCCATCTTACCTCATTGAAATCCTTTTCTGTAGAAAAGGATAACCTAAAGCATTCTGGCTTATCTGCGTCAGCGCTCCATCCACAGCTACACCTAGGTAAAATCTCAAATGCTAAAGGCAACCAGCTTTGAACTGATGGCAATTAGTGTGAAGGAGTATCTTCCTAAATGCTTATGTATCTTTCATTAAGTAGAAATAGTAAATCTTAGTGTGTGTGTATATATGTATATACACACACACACATATACATATTTGAATGCTTTGCTGTTCCTAATAAACTGCTGCAATTTGTAATGAATAACAATATTTAACATTAAGTTTTGAGGTTTCAGACCAAAAATGATTTAAAAATCCTGTAGAAAAAGTCTTTCTGTAACATTTTTCACTCTGATTTATCAGAGTAATAAGCCAAAATGAGGTAAGTTAAAAAAAAGGACATTGACAATTATATATATACATATTGTGTGTGTGTACATATATATATATATGTACATATATATATATATGAAAAGAAGATAGGAAAGAAAGAAAAAGAAAAGGGAAGAAAGAAGAAAGAAGAAAAATTAGCAAGGCAAAAATAAATGGTACACATCATCATGTGGTGTTCTTTTTTTTAAAATTATAAACATGGTATTATCTTTGATTTGATTGTATTATATACTGTATGAATGCTTTGAAAAATCCATATCATTCCCCACAAGGATGCACTACAATTAAATATAAAAACCAAATTTAAAAAATTAAATAGTACTAAAAATAGTAATAAATATACATTTTATTACCTGCAGCCAACACAGAGAGACCAGACAGATTTTCACTTTCCTCATCAGTACTTTCATCATAGATTGCATCTCTGTCAACAGTCATTTCAGAACAGGTTGCAGTTTCCCTAAAAACAGAAAAAGAGTTATAAAACACTGGCTCATTTCTGAGCAGCTATCGAATTAACCAGTAATTCTTAAAAATATTCCTGAAAATGGGGCTGGCAGGTGGCACAGTGGTTAAGGGCACTGGACTCCACATGGCTGACTGTGATTCAAGTCCTGACCTGGTTGCTTGCTTTTTAACTTTCCCTCTCTCTCTCTCTTTTACTCTGCCCCTCTCTGGTCAAACTAAAATAAATAAATAAATTGAAAAAATAAAGTTAAATAAAAAAATTTTTTTTTTAATTCATGAAAAAAAGATTCTACCTAGATAAACATACCTTGAAATACACAGATGGTATTTTTCAACTTTATGATGGTGTGAAACCATTCCAATTCCAATGTACTTTGAATTTCGAATGTGAATCTTTTCCTGGACTACAGAGATATTTGGTACCTGAGATATTCAGCACCTTATAGTAAAATAGGCACTGTGTTAGATTACTTTGTCTAACTATAGACTAACGTTAAGTGTTCTGGGCCCATTTAAGATAGGGAAGGCCAAGCTACGATGATAGACACTTTAGGTGTATTAAGTGCATTTTAGACTAATGATATTTTCAACTTATAATGGGATTATTAGGGTGATACCCTACTGTAAGTCAAGAAATATTTGCATATATTTAGATAAAACCACTTTAAAAACTATTTATTAACTCTCTTAAAAATAAGTTGCTATTACACTAATAATTTCAATGTTTAATGTTTACTATAATAAATTCTTGAATCATCATTATTTTCTTCTATCAAAATATTATTCCACCAAGTTATCTCTGGAGGTCACAGAGTATTTAGCATTTTACCAATCTGAAAGTAGTTCATTTCATTTGATCTCACCAAACCCTGAGGTGGGAACCTTTACGTAACCTTATTATGAAGATGACATGAGTATGGAGTGTAAAGGACTTGTCCAAAGCCGTATACTAATAAGTACTAGTGCCAAGCCAATATCTGAACTAGGACAGCTGACATCAAATGTTATTTTTATTTACAGGACATCATTGGTAAACCTCTGCTTCTTCTCAGATTCAGGGCAACAGACTCTAACCTATATCTGGTAATAGCTGAAAAAACTGTAATTTTCCAAAGCCATACCAGCCATTTGTGATACATGATTCAACCTTAAGAATCAACAAAAGGGACCAGCAGTTAGTGTAATGGCTATGTCGCTGGACTCCCACATAGTCGACAAGCTCTTCTTCAAGACAGACATGCCGTATTCTCATAGGGGCCCTTTCTGATACTCTGGCTAAAATTCAAGCCTCATCCTTCTCCCTACCTTGACATTTATATTATCCTTCCCCACATTCTCCTCCTCTTTAGCACATATCAAAAGCTAACATATTTTATACTTAAGTTATCATGTTACTGTCTATTTTCTTAACTAGAATTTAAATAGCACAGAAGTTTTTTCATTTAATATAAAATAAATTTTAAAATTCTAGAAGCATAATCCATGATTCAACACCTGCTTGACCTGAGGGTCTGAGTAAGGCTTTTTTTTTAACTTTTAACTGCCATTCTCCTTTCTCTTTCCTATGCTCCCATCTTACCTCATTGAAATCCTTTTCTGTAGAAAAGGATAACCTAAAGCATTCTGGCTTATCTGCGTCAGCGCTCCATCCACAGCTACACCTAGGTAAAATCTCAAATGCTAAAGGCAACCAGCTTTGAACTGATGGCAATTAGTGTGAAGGAGTATCTTCCTAAATGCTTATGTATCTTTCATTAAGTAGAAATAGTAAATCTTAGTGTGTGTGTATATATGTATATACACACACACACATATACATATTTGAATGCTTTGCTGTTCCTAATAAACTGCTGCAATTTGTAATGAATAACAATATTTAACATTAAGTTTTGAGGTTTCAGACCAAAAATGATTTAAAAATCCTGTAGAAAAAGTCTTTCTGTAACATTTTTCACTCTGATTTATCAGAGTAATAAGCCAAAATGAGGTAAGTTAAAAAAAAGGACATTGACAATTATATATATACATATTGTGTGTGTGTACATATATATATATATGTACATATATATATATATGAAAAGAAGATAGGAAAGAAAGAAAAAGAAAAGGGAAGAAAGAAGAAAGAAGAAAAATTAGCAAGGCAAAAATAAATGGTACACATCATCATGTGGTGTTCTTTTTTTTAAAATTATAAACATGGTATTATCTTTGATTTGATTGTATTATATACTGTATGAATGCTTTGAAAAATCCATATCATTCCCCACAAGGATGCACTACAATTAAATATAAAAACCAAATTTAAAAAATTAAATAGTACTAAAAATAGTAATAAATATACATTTTATTACCTGCAGCCAACACAGAGAGACCAGACAGATTTTCACTTTCCTCATCAGTACTTTCATCATAGATTGCATCTCTGTCAACAGTCATTTCAGAACAGGTTGCAGTTTCCCTAAAAACAGAAAAAGAGTTATAAAACACTGGCTCATTTCTGAGCAGCTATCGAATTAACCAGTAATTCTTAAAAATATTCCTGAAAATGGGGCTGGCAGGGGGCACAGTGGTTAAGGGCACTGGACTCCACATGGCTGACTGTGATTCAAGTCCTGACCTGGTTGCTTGCTTTTTAACTTTCCCTCTCTCTCTCTCTTTTACTCTGCCCCTCTCTGGTCAAACTAAAATAAATAAATAAATTGAAAAAATAAAGTTAAATAAAAAAATTTTTTTTTTAATTCATGAAAAAAAGATTCTACCTAGATAAACATACCTTGAAATACACAGATGGTATTTTTCAACTTTATGATGGTGTGAAACCATTCCAATTCCAATGTACTTTGAATTTCGAATGTGAATCTTTTCCTGGACTACAGAGATATTTGGTACCTGAGATATTCAGCACCTTATAGTAAAATAGGCACTGTGTTAGATTACTTTGTCTAACTATAGACTAACGTTAAGTGTTCTGGGCCCATTTAAGATAGGGAAGGCCAAGCTACGATGATAGACACTTTAGGTGTATTAAGTGCATTTTAGACTAATGATATTTTCAACTTATAATGGGATTATTAGGGTGATACCCTACTGTAAGTCAAGAAATATTTGCATATATTTAGATAAAACCACTTTAAAAACTATTTATTAACTCTCTTAAAAATAAGTTGCTATTACACTAATAATTTCAATGTTTAATGTTTACTATAATAAATTCTTGAATCATCATTATTTTCTTCTATCAAAATATTATTCCACCAAGTTATCTCTGGAGGTCACAGAGTATTTAGCATTTTACCAATCTGAAAGTAGTTCATTTCATTTGATCTCACCAAACCCTGAGGTGGGAACCTTTACGTAACCTTATTATGAAGATGACATGAGTATGGAGTGTAAAGGACTTGTCCAAAGCCGTATACTAATAAGTACTAGTGCCAAGCCAATATCTGAACTAGGACAGCTGACATCAAATGTTATTTTTATTTACAGGACATCATTGGTAAACCTCTGCTTCTTCTCAGATTCAGGGCAACAGACTCTAACCTATATCTGGTAATAGCTGAAAAAACTGTAATTTTCCAAAGCCATACCAGCCATTTGTGATACATGATTCAACCTTAAGAATCAACAAAAGGGACCAGCAGTTAGTGTAATGGCTATGTCGCTGGACTCCCACATAGTCGACTGCGGTTTGCATCCCAGACCCATTGGCTTAAAACTCACGCTGGGTGCATGAGCGTGTGTGCCCAAGATTCTGAGAGGAGAATGGAGGAGAAGGGATTGCGGCGTGGCCATCCCCCCGGGGGGTGATTTCTTGCTTTCTGTCTGTTTCTCTCTGTCTGTCTGGCGAGTGCACGCGCCCTACAGCAAAAACCTCTCCAAAAAAAAAACGAATCAACTATATATCCCTCTCACAGAAAGCTTGTTAGAAGAATGAGAAAGATAATCGCCTCTAATCAGATCAAATAAATGCCCAGTGGAATTTCACATTACTTACTTGATTCTAAAGTTAATCACTGCTAAGACATCTAAATTATAATGGGGTATTCAACTCTGTAGTTCTACAGTAGATAAAAATTCTTTTTAATTTTTATATTTTTCTTAGTGTTGTCTAGTAATTAAATAATATTTAGATAAGCCTCATGCCAGTTCTATAATTTAAGTATAGGTTGAAAAACTAAACACACCCAGAAAAATCCTTTTGAGAATTTGCAGCCTATGGCAGCCTGTCTAATAGCCAGAGGCTATTAGATGATTTTTCTATATTAAACAGTTGGCACCTAACTAACGCTAAGTTTGGGAAGAAGTTCCATTTAAATGTATACACCTGTCATCCCGAAACAGAAAAGCCAAATACCTTTCACATTCAGTGTTCTTTTGTAGTTCTTGAATTTCATTTAATGATTTCTGTAAGGTTCGAATCTTTGTTTTCTTCTCATTCAACACCAAAATAAATCGTTCATAAAGATCCATCTCCAAAGCTTCCTTCGCACTCACACATTTTTCAAACCTAAAAAAGTAAACAGACAATAAATAGTGTAGTTCTTCTTAGCATTAATATTACTCAGTCTTAAGATCTCAAAAAATACTTAAAGAGCTCAAGAAAACTTTCTAAGAAAATTCACTTAAAAACACTTTTATATATATTCTCATTATCTATTAAATTTTCCATAGTTAAATAATTAGAAATTAGAAATAATTAGAAATTATTAGAAATAATTAGAAATGGGGCCAGCAGATGGCATAGCAGTTATGTCCCACATAGCCCACTGGGTCCCAAGTCCTGGACCTGGTGGCTTGAAAATCATGCCAGATGCATGTGCATGTATGCCCAAGATCCCAGAAGGACAAAGGATGAGAAGGGATTATGACATGGCCATCCCCCTGGTGGGTTATTTCTCACTTTCCCTCTCACTGTCTCTGTCTCTGGCAAGCACACATGCCCTAAAGAAAAAACCTCTTAAAGAAGAAAAAGAAAATATTCATTAATATTGTTACTAATTTATGTACTTAGATAAGCATCAAACTGAAAATCAATATTAATAAAGCTATAAAAATACTTCCATAATTTATGCACATCCATAGTTTATCTACAAAAGATTTTTTAAGAAGAAATTTCAAATAAGAGTAAATATAGCTTATGTTTTCTCAGTACTTTGTGATGTAACTATAATAGCAATCGTGACCTTATTTTGTGACAATCTGATTGTTCTAGACTATGAACTGCTCTCAACAAGGACATGTGCTACCCAGCTACATCCTTTTAGCAAACACTCATACAAACTATATACAAACATATACACACAGAAAGGAACTTCAAAAAGTTCATGAAAAATGAAATGAAAGCACAAGTTTATTTTTCAGCAAAAAATGATATTTATGTTATTTTTTCATAATATGCATTTCAACAAATTTTTTGAACATTTCTCACATATATAATGAATAAAAGTATTCTACTTGATATGTCCAAAGAGAGATTAAGGAAACAGTAAATGTGAAAATTTAGATATCTCCAAATTTAGATGTGTAAGACAAGTTATGGGATTCTTTATTATTTATAATTCTTCCTACAATGCTCAAATGAACTAACAAAGGATTTTGTACTTACTGTAATCTCTCAAGATAAATATAAAACAGAGAACATAAACTAGCAGAGGTTGTATATATTTAAAATATGCATACACACTATTAATAAAATTCTATATTACATATTCAAATACACATATATTTGAATTATTTCATGTATTCTTTTAAATGTTGCCTTGTTATGCCTAGTTTTCTCTTTACCATACTGCTTACTTATACTTCTATTGTTCTATTCTGGTATCCCAGGATTTCCCTATTTTATTATACAATGCACAAATATATGTATATTTATATAATATATATATACATTAGTAGCAATATACACATATGTATATGTGCATGTCTATTTTTCAGTGAGATAATTAGAAATAAAATGTCAAAATTTGATACCTTTCATTGATATGCCCTTTTGCTTTCAACAACCTACCTCTCTCGAGCTATGAATGAAAAGGAAAATATGGTAGTATGTTTTCTGGGACCAATTACAGAAAAATTCTTATAGCAAAGTCTTTGCTGTGAACTCCATGAAAACTAGTGCATTTCTGTTTTATTGGCTGTTTTCTCCTTAGTGCCAAGTACAGTGTTTGACATTTGGCAAATATTTAGGAGACATCTAGTAGATTATCAAGAAATGTGAGTTAAAATGAACCTATTTTTTGTTTGTTTTTCTACCCTTACTGCTGATTTATTACAAATCTCCAACCATACTTTATCTTTTTCTTTTCAACAAGATGTTATGCAGCTTCTTCAAACTTTTTTTGTGGATGCTCTAGAAAAGGACATTGGCACAGACCACAGGGAGACTGGTGAATGCCTTAAAGTTCACCTCCTCCTTATTGATGACTCTTGTCTTTTTCCTTGCACTCATTCCACATGGACAATAGTGGTCCTGTCAGCTGGATGCACAATTTCAGTTCCTCAGCAGAACTCTCTCTCTTACATGGGTCCAAAGGCTTGCTGAGGAAGAGAATGAGCTTGGAGTTGCACTCTTTCAGCCACTGCAACATTCCCTGCAGGGACTCAGTAGACTTGCCTCCGCTCCTCGGATCTAGAGAGATAACCGTGGCCCACACTACCCTTAATTTTCAATATTGAAGCCTCACCAATTTGTACTTTGGTGTGATACCTCACTGTGGGACATCTTTTTATGAGCTGGTGGGTTCATATGCAGGGCCTGGGAAAGGCAGTATGCTTTTTCTGGCTGAGCTTTGCATCTGCATATCTTCCTGGTAAGTGAAGAAAACTATATGGTGCCAGGCTCTTGCCAGTCCTTATGAAAATGGTGTTTCAGAATCATGCCATTACACTAGGTGCCATACATGCCATGGTCCTCCTCCCAAAGAAAATGGTTGAGTGGAAAAGCTAATATGGTTATGTTATGAGAAAATGGAAAACTAGTGATTGTAATATTATATTTTTTCAATCAATTAACAGCTGTTCACTATTTTAACAGTAATATTTACCCTATTCTTCAGCCTTTAAAAACATTTAGAAAATAATATTAATATAACAGTATTTGCCTCATGGAGCACAGCTCACTGAAAAAGAACTACACCATGGGACCAGCAGTTGGCCTAATGGCTGTGTCACTGGACTCCCATGTAGTCAACCGCAGTTCAAGTCCCAGACCCGGTGGCTTAAACTCACACTGGGCGTGTGTGCGTGTGTGCCCAAGATCCTGAGAGAAAAATGGAGAAGAAGGGATTGTGTTATGGCCATCTCCCCTGGAGGGTGATTTCTCGCTTTCTGTCTCTGTCTCTCTCTTTCTGGTGAGTGCTCACACCCTATAGCAAAAACCTCTCCAAGAAAAAAAAAGTACAGCACAACATACAGAATATAAAATAAAGATTAATGAATAATGCCAAACTTTAGTAATGGTAACCAAATAGTAATTTATCTGATTAAAGTCCAATATTTAATGTCAATATAAATTAATTCAATAATTCTTGATTAAAAGATTACATGTACCCATCAACTATTAACCTAGGTCTCAGTACTTTATTAAAATTAACATTTAATACAACACATTAAAATAAATATCAGTGAGTCCAGTAGGTGAGGTGGTGATTGGGATGCTGGACTCTCACATGGCTGACCATTGTTCAAGCCTTGGACCTGGAGGGTGCTTTCTCTTTTTCCCTCACTCTCTCTCTCTCTTCGTCTGTAAGCCCATGTGCCCTATAGAATTTTTTTTAAATGATAAATAAAATTAAATAAACAAATAATGTAAAAATAGTAGATATAAAAACATCACATTATTGATATTTCTCTCTTGGCAAGTCCAGTTCTCAAGAATGGGACAGGCATTGTTGAGTGAGACCTTCAGTGGAGGAGACATAAGATTTACAGCAAAGTCTAGTGTAACTAAAAGAAAGCCCAGATAAAACTGGATCAGATGACGACCAGTTCAAGTTCAAACTAGATGAAACCATCAAAACATCAAATAGAAAAGGCATAATGATGGTCACCCTTCAACAGTGACCAGAACAATAAAATGATCATGTTAAATTTAATTAGTAACCTAGGAGTAAAGAATCTAGGACTTTAGAACAAAGGATACTTTTTTATTTTTAAGTGAAAAGAATAAAAACTAAATTTAGAAAAGTATTAAATATTCACAATAAAATATTTCTTGATAGGAAAACAACTTAAGATTAAAATTGTCAGAAACAGTGACAAACGTAAGGTGAAAACACAAATTTCATCCAAAGTAACACGCAAAATAAAACAATAGATTAAATGATAGCCCCAAATAAAACAATAGGTACATAAACGTGAACACATAGTACTTCGAAACACTGCAGTAATCCTTTTATTAACAATTGGTTCTGGCCTAACTTATATCCAGGTCAGGGTTGTACAGCAAAAGAAAATATGAATACTTTCCAGGACAAAGACTGCTAAAAGGAACGGGAAAAGAAAGCAGTGGTAGAGATTTAATAAGCCTCTAAGTACAGAAGAAGATGGTGAACAGCTGCTCCTCATCCTTTCTGTCGAAAGAACAAGAGGAAACGGCCTTCAACTACAGCATGGAGGGTTCAAATTACCAAGAGATGGAGGGAAAAATGTCCTAACTGTGTCCATTCTTAAATACTGTAATAGACTACCAAGCGGAGACGTATGTATCTCTTGAGGTCTTTAAAAATCAGACTGAGTTCATCTGGATATAATGTGATTCTAGTTAGAAGGCAGAGACGAAGCAAAACTGCTTTCAAGGATTTCTATTCTAATAATTCCATAAGTGTTGATCCAATTCACTGAAAACTGCCTCCAATTATGGGCTTAATAATTACAATTCAGAATAAAGCTGGATAACTTCTAAATTGAGGTCTGAGTGCAAACAAAGACCTATTCAGTAACAGAGAATTTGGGAATTATTTGAAACTAAGCAGGAAAACCCAGTGAAATAATATAGCTAATAACCTAAGGATTCACATACAAATTTTCTAATATTTTCTCCTTTATCTAAACTATATGAAATTAAATTAACATAGTTAATGCCAGTTTTTAAAAATGTTGAAATGTCAAGACCATGACTATTAAATAATAACTAAAAACAAAGGCAAAAATTAAATAAAACCCTCAGGAAACACATGTTCAAAGTCTTTGCATTAAAGCTCAATATTTTTCCTCAATGTGCAATTCTTCATTCTTCAATAAAGCCTTATTTATTCCCCATTCTCATCCCAAATGGAAATAGCTTTATAGTTGGCTCTAATCATAGTACTGATATCAAGATATATACCAAAATTACCCTCAAAAGGTAAATTTTAATCCACGATTCCAGACATACACTATTTTTAACACTTAATTTTCTCCTTCTAGATAGTCTCCAAATAAGTACATGTTTTGCAATAAAGGAATAGTACTCATATGCTTGGTAATGTATATGTTTCCTCTTAATATCACAAACATTTTTCATGTTAATAAACATATGAGTACATGATTATTCTTTACTCATATTATATTTTATCACATATTAAATATACTGCAGTTTCACCTCTCATAGCTTCTAGGGGAAATCCTATCCTCTGCTTTGTCCCTTCCCTCCATCTAATTTTTCTCCACTCCTCCACATCGTCAGGAATAGTGATGGGGAAGAAATGATTGGGTCATGGATGGATATTGACACAAGAGTAATCAGGAGGGTGTTCCCCAAAACTGATCGTGGCTAGGCCTAAAATCAGGGCCCATACTCTAATGATTCTTATTTTCTATGTCCCTAGTTACCTGAGTAATAAACTCATCTCTTATTTCTAATCTTTCTAAAAACTATTAAACACTACTGCTGCCTTATGGTAGTTGGAGCTGTAAATCCTTTACTTATTTTCTAGTATACTAGGGAACATGACCAAGATGTATTACAGTTCCCTAAATTGGTCACTTTCTCTTCTAAATTTGGAGAAAACCAAATCTGAGAAATACATAAAGCTACTAATCTAACATCTGGCATATAATCAGGATCCTACAATTCTCTGGAGTAAACTGTTTCTCCTCTCGGTTCGTAGCGTCACCCTAATGGTACACACCCTCAACTCCAAAGAATAGGTCTCACTCAGTATTAACAGAAAAAGTATGGCTGGATGGTAATAAGGCAGGTGACAGGGTACATGGCTGTGCTTTTGATCAAACAGGAAATCTCTTGCCACGATAAGACAAACTACTTTCTGGACAGTTCAGAAACAGTACATCAAACATCTGTGAGCCATGTAGTATATGCACCCCTCATACACACTGTTTTACAGCACAGGGTGCATCTGTCTCCGTGGCCTCATCTTTGTTCCCTGCTGCTTTCAATTCTATGGGAGTGGTGTTGAATACTGATGAGATAATACCTCTTTCAACCTCTGGCAGACATTTTATAGCAATTTGTTCAAGTACCAAGTACCCAGTCTGCATTTTTGTGGGCAATTTGTAGATCAAATTTCCTATCATCCTGAGGGTATTTTGAGTTTTAAATATAATAGTTTATCACAACCAGAGTGTATCTCCTTTAATTTGATTTTTTTCATGTATAAAACACTCCAATCTAGAAATAAAATGCTAAAAATGCTATGTAGCACAGATATTTGACACTGACGCATAGTACACAAAAAAGGAATAAAACAGAAGTTAAAGAGAAAAATCAGCTTATTTTTCTGTATGGCTGCCTGGCACTTACATATGTTTTGATTTGACCTCATTCTCTTTATAGTATTTAATGTAATTAGATGTATGAAAATGTAGATAAAAATTTATTTAGAGTTAAAGCGCAAAATATTCTTTATATACAGTATTAAAATAATAACTGAGAGATAAATACAATTGCTAGAAACTTAACTATACATGTCTTATAATAATTAATAGAATAAAACATATAGAAAAATAACCTCATTAGTCAATCTTATTTTCATATACATATATAGATTAAACTAAAACATCTCTATTTTTCATGTACTTCCTCCATACTTATTAATGTCCATATAAAGCAATCACAATTAATACCCTAAAAAACCCTAAATAGGATAAAAGTTCTTATGTTTTAGAACTATTCATTTGAATGAAAAATTTTAAAAATCTATTGGATATAATGATAATTATTATCACATTATATATAGTCCATGTAATTACTTTAGATACTGCAATATACATATAAATGTAAAAATAGGTATATTACATTATATATGTCTTCGTGGGGATATAAGTGTTTACATCATAGATTTAATTTTCCTCAAACATATTTTACATAATAGAGTACAGAGGTCACACACTGGTCCAGTCTAGATGATTTAGCTGGGAAAGTCCATAATTGAGAAGATAAGTGACCTCATCGTCTCAAAAATAAGAGGCAAAATCAGGAAAAGAAGGGTTTCCAAATGTCTTATCTAGTAAACCTAATTAACTCATAAAAATGCTTGTAGTATGAATTTCAATCAGTAGAAATAAGTCCCTGTTAGGAGGCAAAATACTGTTCATTTAAAATAGTTGTCATTCATTAATTCCAAATACAAAACAACGGTGCTGATATAGTTAAGTCTCTTTTGTTCACTATAGATCTTATAACATAAGTTGAATTAATCCTTCTTAATAGCCAGTTCCTCAATTTTCATTTAACATTATCGGGTTCTGATCCTCAACACACAGTTACTCCTTATTTATAAATTTGTTGCTACCATCTAATACTAATGATTGAAAATTGTTAATGCACTCCTACAATGTACAATAGTGACTAAAAATTTAGTTCGATCATATTATGTAAAGACAAAATTAATTATGGATTTTAGTTTAAATATATGCAAGTCTACATATATTATGAATTTACAAAGTATTGACTTAAAGCTATACTGATATAAAGAGAGCTCAGTGCTTTTATAATGCAAGTACACACCGTCCTTCAATATCATTCCAATCTCTCAGAAGCCTTTCATTTTCTTTCTGCAGGTGCTCATTTTTGGCTTGGTTTTCTGTGATGGTGTCCAGGCAGTAACAAATAAGTTCTCTAATGACCTCAGCTGGGCTTGCAACTTTCTCTAGGTTGAAGGAACCAAGTCTGAACTGAAATGAAAAAAAGACATGTTTAGTTTTTCTGAGATAATATCAAGACTGAACAGCTCAGTTTGAAACATACACATTTTTTTCTGAGGGGAAAAAAATAAGATCCAAATAGGACATTTATCAGATATAAATACAGTAAAGAAAAATCTGGGCTTCTATTTACTTTCTTAGTAGCATTTACCATAGAAATCAACAGAGAGCCTAAGACTAATTTCTGTAAGCAGTAAGTCATTCTTTCATCTCCCAGCAGAAAAGAAAGCAAAATAAATACTATATGAACATACTACAATCTTTTCTAAAACCTAGGGTTATTTATTTGTTTGTTTGTTTTAGTTTTTGTTTATCTCTTCCATGAAAGACTAAGAGAGAGAGAGAGAGAGGGGCACTCCCACAGTCTTCACTGTGTGCTTCACTCTGTGCTTCACGTCTTGTCTCAGCCAGCTTAATCTTACACACATGCAAACCCTGGCAGCACACAGGGCCCTCAGGATGCTAATCCAGGATCTTCAGTGGGGGTCCAGTTCTGTCACTGATGCATCACTGCTTGGCCCCCTGGTGAAACCTAATTTTAAGTCACTCTGCTTAGAATAAGAAAAGAAACTATACATGAGAATTTTTAACTCATTTTTGTTAATGCAACATGAAAATGGGTAACTGACATGGAACCTATTACTGAAGAAAGATCGAAATTTGTGAAGTGACAAAGAGAAAGATAAGAGTTTTAGAAAACTGATAAGCCTGAGGATACCACACAGTAGTTACTCCTTTATCTACAGTTCATAATTTATGTGACAAATAACAATGTTAAATATTAAGCTTAGGTACTTTTCCATAAAGGTAAGACTCTTTAAAAAAATCTGAATTCCTCTATTAGGGACTGCTTAACCTACACAGAATTCTGAAGGATACTAACAGTATTGAGTAGGCAGCAAAAATGACAAAACTGAGGGGCTTTGGGGTTTTAGCATTAGATAAATAATATTATTTATCTATTAAGAAATTTACAAAATATAAAGATTTTTAAGAGACTATTTCTATAATTATGTGATATAAAGATTGAGAAATATTTTACAGTGGCTGACTATATTGAGATTTCACTGAATTAGAAATCCAATCTGAGTGGCATTTTACAAATCATTTCAGTTCATTCTTTTCATTTAGGACCATTGGGATACATAACTCCAGAAAGTACTTCTCTGAATGAATCATGTTTGCTAATTTTCTCTAAAATTTCAAACAGCAATCACAGATAGATTACTTAAATTAAACCCTGCCAGAAGATTTAAACACTGATATTTCTTGGGTTGTGAGAAACATTTACATTTCTTTAAAATGTAAAAGAGAATAACACCCCATGACCTAGTAGTCAAGAGCACAGGATCCCACATGGACAACCTCACCAACCCTGGCCATGGCAGCTTGAGAAACATGTCGGTTCCATGTTTGTGGACCCCCCAGATCCTGACAGAATGGAGAAATGGAGGGGTGCTCTCTCTCCCCTCTCCCTTTCTGCCTCTCTGGTGAGCTCCCACACCTGGAAAATTAAAAATAATAACCACAACTACAACATAAAATGTAGAGGAAAATAGCAGATATACATAGACATTGTAGAAATATTAATATTTTAGAGACTGGAATATTACAGTTCTAGATACAAAGAAATTGCATATGCATGTGTAATTTTATTTTATTTTATTTGAAACATAAGCAGGTCCTAATGTCTGTTTAATTCAGCTCACTCTTGCCTTTTAAATGAACAAGAAACAGAAAAAATCTTTCCTTTATTTCAATGAGTTATTTTTAGATTCATGTATTTGCCCTAAATTAAGCAATTTGACCACCATCTAACAGAAAGAAAAAAAAACACGGAAAAATTCTAAGAAGTTCATACAGTTGAAATTATTTTAGACTAGTACTCCTATCTGATCTTAAACTTAGAATCAAATGACCAAAAACATTTGCAGTTTTCTCCTATAATGAAACCTGAGTAAATTTAACAAGCATGCAAGTTTAAATAAGAAAGTTTTATGTATGAAAAGAATAAATAAATTGAAAGTAAAGTTGAGCATTTCCTTTTATAGCTTCTTTGAATATAAACACACACAAAGTTAAAGACAAAGGTCTTTAGACACAGGTAGGGTATTACTTATTTCAGTTGATAAAAACCAAGAAAATACCTAAGTTTATTTTTTTGGACAACAGATTACATTCTTAGCAAAACATCAATGACACAAAGTGATCTTGTATTCTCTCATTATCTCAATTGTAAGAGAGCTTTGACTAAGACAAACATTTTTAAAAGGAAAGAGTTTTTCATCACTTGAAAGTTTCAAAATGCCAAACAGATGAATTCATGCCTTTGATCCTGAATAAAGTACTCAGTATAATACAAATGTAGAGATGAACAAAGAACAGTCCTTTACACACTCTACCATAGATGACGTAGATGAGATGACATAGATGATGAGGGAAGAGACTAAAAAAATCACTAATAAGAATGTCTTTCAAAATATCACTCAAATATGTTTATTTAAAACTCCAAAAAATAATTCTTAAATTTCTTAAACATACAATATAAAATAAACTTAAAAATGTCATTTCTTCGTAAGAGTAGGCAACCTTTTTATGATATTTATTTTCTATATATATTCACCAATTTCTGTCCTTTTAATCAGTAGGAACATTTGTTATTTCAAGCAATAAAATTAAACTAGAAGTATCTAGCAATGCAGTCAAGATAAGGATTTTACTTAAAATATTGAGACTTTTTCTTTTTTTAATGCTTAAAAATATGAGACAGGGGCTCTGCTGGAGCATTATGGCCACACAAGGGGACTTCAAAAAGTTCATGGAAAAATGGAAGCATCAATCTATTTTGGTGCAAAGACATTTTTAATCCATGCATAGCTTGTTGATAACTTACATGAGCTTTTTTGGAAGACTTCCTATACATACATGGTTCAGGGCCAGGGTGGGAAGCATTCTTTTACATAACTGCTGCGGTTCACCTCTCTACACCATTACTATTACTGAAGCCAGGGGTCAGGGGCCATATACCCATAAGGATCTAATATGAAGCCTAATAAATGGAGGAGTACAAAACATTTTTGTGCTCTACCTCTACATCCAGTCGATCCTTATGCTGCCCTTCAACAAATGGAAAGTGACAATTTAAATATCATTTTTAAAGCCAGTAAACTGGCGGGACCAGCAGTTGGCATAATGGCTATGTCGCTAGACTCCCACGTAGTTGACCACGGTTAGAGTCCAGGACCTGGTGGCTCAAACTCACATTGGGCATGTGTGTGTACGCACCCAAGATCCCGAGAGGAGAATGGAGGAGGAGAGATTGTGGTGTGGCCATTACCCCTGGTGGGTGATTTCTCGCTGTCTTTCTCTGATATTCTGGAGATCGTATGTGCCCTATAGCAAAAACCTCTCAAAAAAATAAATAAATAAATAAAAGATAAAGAATATTTTGTTCATTGTAGACATGTGTGTGTGTATATATATATATATATATATATATATAGTTATATGTACAGTTTTGTTGAAATAATTAGGTGTAAAAATATAGAAACATAGGAAATCATTCAAGTTATATGAAAAATAAACTGACTAAACTAATTACCTTGGCCTAGCTATAAAGATCATCAGTGTAAGTATTTTAAATCAACTATATGTGTACAAAGATCTTTATATCTAGGGCCACTCTTAAGCTTCAAGTCTTAAAGACACACATTTAACTCCTTTTTGGAGGGTGCACCTGGATTTCTATACAAATCTCAAACTTCAAATGCCAAAGCAGAATTCACTGTGTATTCTACCCACTTAATAACTCTTACCTATATTTTCTACCAGACAGTCACCATTCATCCAATTATACTTGAGTAGTCTGGTTAAGTGCAGATATTTATCATAGCTTTATAGTACTATTTTTTTTTCTTACACTAGACTAAAACTCTGAAGAAACAGAGACTACAACACATTTTTGTATCTTCATTTTTACATGGTAAAATAGAATGCATTTATCATTTTTCAGACTTTTTGAGCACATACTATGTACTAGGCATTAGAGATTGCTGTGAAAAAGAAAAACAAGGGGACAAGAGGTAGTATAGTGGTTAAGGTGCTGGACTCTCACATGGCTGAGCACAGTTCAAGTCCTAGACCTGATGGCTTGCTTTATAGGACCAGCAGATGGTATGATGGTTACATTGCTGGACTCACACATAGTCAACTGCACTTCAAGTTATGGGTCTGGCAGCTTGAAACTCATACGAGGCACATGTGTGTGCATGTACAAAATCCCGAGACAACAGAGGAGAAAGCATTGTGGAATGGCCATCCCCCTAGGGGGTAATTTCTCACTTTCTGTCTCACTGTCTCTGTCTCACCAGTGAGCAGACACACCCTATAGCGAAAATCTCTCTAAAAAAGAAAAATGAAAAACAATGTATCTATTCTCCTAGAGCAAACATTTTTTTTTATTAATTCACTTTACACCATCACAACACAGAAATAAATTTTCCATCCAAAATACACTGTGCATTGGCTCAATCAAGTACATCTACATACATGTTCTCAGCAAATAATTTTCCAATTCTTACATCCTGCATACCTTGCCCTTTGTCTTGCCATCCCTGATTCCCCATCCCCCACCCTCTGCTATGTCCCATCTTCCTCTCCCATTGTCCCTGGCATCCATGGTTGCCCTCCATGCCTTCCGCGCCCCCCCCATTCAATTGTTCTGCCAATGAACTTAATTAGTCTAAATA